TCAAAGAGTCCAAATCCGACAAATCGTTTTTGAAAACAGATTTTTTTGAAAGAAGTGCCAAACATGGACTGCTTTGCAAGATACAGAGTCGCCACCTAAATATTTTATTTTGGGGAAATTTAGGAAACCCTGACTCGTTGCCTAAGGCCACGTGCCCATCATCACCAAAGTTGCCTCGGCTCGGGAACTTGGGTACGATTGGGGAAGGTCACTTCGTGAGCACCCCCGCTCGCCTGATCAAAGATCGGCCTCTACTAACCATGATATCTAGTTTTGAAAACATTATGTGTTCTTAATCTGGTTATTAGCCTAGATTACTATGTGATGCGCACAGCATACAAGTATAGACTGGGTCGCCTGAATTGGAACAAAGCATCTCATGTTTGTTTTGAAAATGGTTTGATGGTGCTACCCGCAAGTAGGCTAAGACGTGGATTTGCCACCCTCGGATGGGCTTAGAAAACATGATTTTGCCACTATCTAGTGGGCTTAAAACTCACAATTAATGAATTGTTCCAATTCAAATAACCCAACCTTCACCCACAGGCATTCAGGCAGTTATATCATATAAGCACATAGCCTCATGGTAAGCATGCTATCATGGCAGTCACTCACACACATGCAAGGATGCTAAAGCATAAACACTTACCGAGTACTCCAAGCTAAAACAAAAGCTATGTTAGAAATCCATGCATGATCCTAATTATACAAAAATGCCTAATGCAACACATGCAAAATGCAACTAAGATAGGCTCGACTATTCTAAAGATGGCATGTGAAATGCTACAACTAACAAGTATTCAACTCGAAATCGAAATACAAATGCAGTTAGCATGATGCGCCGAGCCCGGTGCATGCTAGACAGATGAATGAATGCAAACATGCTATCATACTGTATGCTAATTGAAACATGCCCTAATCTAACCATCATAAGCTGGTAAATAAAAGGGAGAAAGACGTGGGGTTGGAAGACATACATCACATGCACGCACACTTATTACAATTGCGCCCTCGCTTAGAGGGTCCGAATAAATAATATACAGTTCGAACAAATAGTACAGTCAGAATAAATACAAAATCCTAATTAATTAACAAATTAATCTAGGAAAGCAGGTAAATTAGCACGTAAATCCATGGACCGCCTCAGCTCTGTTCCGAATGATGAATGATGCATGCTTGAGTTGCTTGGTGCAGAAATCCATTGCGATGCCCCTATTCGCCTCTGTTTACACTTAATGCCGGAATGTTGTGCAAAGCTCCAGAAGGCTGTTGATTTCTAATTTGCTGCAATAGAGAGCAAGAAAGGGGCATGGCAAAGTATTTTCACATATGTATGCATGACTACTCTTCAGGGAGTGTAGTCCTCGATCCTCATGCCACCAATCACGCATCTCAATGCATGATAGCCGAGGAGCCGAATTGCACGACTCGATGTGAAATGAATGCACATATAAATACAACAAGACCTAAACTCCATCATGGGTAATCCAGAGTGTCGGCGACCAGGAATTGAGACACGTTCCGTCACTCGGAGTACGAAACGTACCTCGTTTCCCGTGCTTGGGCTAACTCCTCTCCCAAACATGATGCAAATGAGATGGCATACACAATGCGATTAACATACAACCTAGCATACGCAATGCTATGAAATGGCATACACAATGCTCGATGTGACATGGCATACACAATGCTCTAACATGGAATCTAGCATACGCAATGCTATGGACCGAAATGACATACACAATGCACCATGGACTTACACCAACATGAATGGACCTCAGCCACACTCACATCAGTGGCCATGAGATGGAAAAGAGACAATCGAAATGCGTGCACACGTACACGCATACCGAGGACTGAACCTAAGGCATAAAATGCCACTCTATCAAACCAAGGCAAGGGATGAAAGATGACATACAAACATGTAATTTCCAGAACTGAAACATGATGCTAAATAGTCCCGAAACATGGAGATATGGCACCCGATGCATGAAACAAGCCCCGAAACTCAAAGCTAGGCACATGCATTGAATTATAACTATGCAAAGCAAGCATTATTTGGCCATGAAGTACAAAGACAGAGCCAAGGCAGTCCCAAAACATGCACATTTCTAGTTTAAAGCATAGCCAAAAAGTGATAACATGATGGACAAAAATAGCATGCAAATTCGGCTAGCAAGCATGGTTTACATGGCATGTATATGAAGCGTATGAGAACTCATCAAACCAGACAAAAACAGTGAATAAAACATGACAAAAGATACCCAAATAACCACTAAAATGCAGCCAATACATGCAAAAATGATGAGCTCCTTTAGAGGGCCATACAAGGGGTCATTAAGCACATACAAGATAGACATGTAACATGGCAAAACCACCTCTCGAAATGAGTTATGACAGCCCTAAGACTCACCAAAAATGCCCTGAAATTAACCTAGGAAGCATGCAAATGAAAGACCCTTTGAAAGGCCCTGAGTGGGATTGTTCTACACATGCATCATAGACATAAAATATGGCAAAATGGGCTCCGGACAGAGCTAATGCAGACCATAAAACTCACAAAATAAGGCCTGAAACATGACTTCCATGCATGCAAAACAGAGTCCCTTTGGAAGGCCAACAATGCTAGTAAAGAGAATGAGGGGTGAGAGGGTCACCCCTCTATGATTTTGGAGCTCAAAGACACATCAAGGCGACTGAAAATCCATTGGATTTCAGTGGCTAAGAGACTAAAACAAGGCCAATGCAAATGCTCACATGCATGGCTCAAAACATAGGGAAATGAAGCATGCAAGGAAGAAAATGTCTCCAAACAGAAAAGTGACCTCAAGCAAACTTAAAGAGGAGGTCAAAACAAGACTTTCATCAGTTTAGGCCGAGGTCCAAAAATCCTCACAAATGAAGCCAATATATCATGCAAAATAAGCCCTAAAAGAGAGATAAAGCATACAAAGGGGTAGGAGACCTCAAACAGAAAAGTACTCTTAAACAAACATGAAGAGGAGCACGAAATACACTACAACAAGTTGGGTCTTGGATGACGAATTTTTTTCGTCTCCAAAGAGCTAATTTCGTCACTATAGATATTTGTGAGGAAATATTTTTGTCACCGGGTTCGTCATTGAATGTTTGTCACTAAAAAGCATCGTGACGAAAAATAATTTCGTCACCAACGAAATTACTTTAGTGACCAAACTTTTTGTCACCAATAAAACAACATTTTGTCACCAAAAATCCTCATTTTCGTCACCAAATAGTTTTTCAGTACCACATTTATAACTTTAGTTGACGAATAAATTTGTCACGCATGTTGATCATTGATGAGGAAATAATTTCGTCACAGTAAGATGTAAAGTCGACAAAGTTTTTCATCTCCAAATATCATACATGGGTGACGAAATATAGTTCGTAACAAAAATATATATACATGACAAAATGTTTAATCACCAAACAACAAAATTAATGAAAACCTTCATATATAAACTATAGTAAATTTTGTCACAAAAAATATTTATTAGCGACAAATAGTCACTTTGTCATAATAACAAATACAAATGATGAAAACAATTCGTCACTAAACTTGTCCCATATTTTGTATTTCAATTTAAATTATTATTTTACAAATATCCCTATTCATATCGCAATAACCTTTTAAATGTACTAAGAAATCCATTAGCTATTATATGCCACTCCATAAAAAAATTCACCAAAAAATTTATATTATAAATCAAAATATATCCATCAAACAAATTTAATAATAATCCATTAAGCATAACAAAAAAACCATCAAAGCAAATCCAAAAATGAACTAACATGGAGTTCACAAAAAAAATCAGCATTCAATCTTAATTTGCAACTAGAACCAAGTATCAGTTCAGGAAAAAAAAAATTTAACACTTGATCTTGATATGCAAGTATGCTTCCAAACGTCATCAAAAACCAATCTGCAAAGAAAATAAACAAAAAAAAAAAAATATTAAAATATTATCAATTACATTGTATAGACCTCTTTATCCATGTCAATACAAATTGTGTACACAATGAGTCTAGCTTAACAACCAAAAGTTCCTTTATACATGACAAGCTCCCATTAATCACATCACTAAATTAGAGCAACTCCAACACTACCTAGCAAAAATACACAAAAAAATATACACGTAGTTTTGTTTCTATTTTAGTTAATGTGTATTTTAATAAGGGTCATGCTAAGTAAGAAGTAACTAATGAATCTATTTTCATTAAATACATCTTCAAACTTGTTAAATCTTAGTTAATAATTAGTGAAATTGTTGTGCTTTAACTAGTATATACTAACCAACATTAGAAAAATAAAAACATAAAACAAGCGGGACTTACCAAAACGGCGATCTACGAGTTCATGAGATACCTCCTCCTTTAAATTGTCCTTTGAAACCTTGCTTATTAAGAAACCTTGCTTCGTAGAAAAGAATGAAAATAAGGTCAGACGTGGGTGAAAACAGAATTTATGTTGTTCTTAATTTCAAGTGATTTTTTTCTGAGTACACTAACCTGAAGATTCACAAGGAACCCACAATGACTAAATGATTTTAGCCCAACAGCAAAAGTAAGCCAAGCAGATGCTATTGATGTGTGCTTTGCCATGTTTAGACCATTGAGCGCAATCCCAGGACCAACAAAACCAATCGACTGCAAGTGAGGATATACCTGATGCTTACTGTATCACATGATTAGTAGGAAAATCCAAAAGTAAAACAAGAGAAACAAATATAGACAGAAATATTTCAATTCAAACTTCTAGTTTTCCAGGTTACATGCAATTTTGTGAAACCAGCATCAATGATTGTTTATTGCTTGTTTGAATCAAAATTAGAAAGAAATTTTAAAAAATAAAAAATTGGACAAACATACATGATGTTCATGAGTCCATTGCGTGGACCATGACTACTAGTAAATACATTTTGGAAACAAAATTAATAGAAGTTGTCTTTGGTTATGTTTTTACTTTTTTGAAAGACCAAGCTGCTTGTCTAAGGTGGACATGATATATCTATAACAAAGAGACATGTATTTCATCTTTCTCATAAAATCAGTACACTTGTTGAGTATGTGATAAATTGCTGATAAACTACAACTTTTAGGCTAGCTATGGCCTTACTGTTTTAAAATATATAGGCATCCATGAAAGAATAACAAAGAATCCCTGTATACAACGGAAAGAATATTAGTACCCAAAAAATCATATATCTACACAATGAAAGATATGTACACAAGCTTTCAAATACTTTAGACACCCAATCACACAATTGTATTGGGTATATATTCACAAATTAAGTTAGTGATTTGCAGGGTTCCTTCTTAGTATATCATTTTAACCAAAGAAAGAAAAGTATAATCAAATAACATACATTTACTTCGAAACATTCTCTTATCTAAACATTTCAAAAGCATAAAAGGTTGACAAATAAGATCATACATAGGAGCCATATTGTGTTGATTTTGTGGAAACATATATAGTCGGATCTTGCTGGTCTTAAGAAAAAGATCTAAATAATACGAGAAGAAAAATGATACCATGCTCATGACAGCCAAGCTTCTAGTATAATTTGTCCTCCTGTCCAGCCAATTCTCAAAAGTGCAACTTTTTAACTAAAACACCTATCAAGAAGGCAATGTAACTAACTTGAGAAAAGAATTCCCAGGGGAGAGCCAAAGATGCAGCATATTTCTTGAAGAAAACATACCCTTGCCAGGTCATTTCCCTCACTATTTTGCAGAGCATACTCAAACTCAAACACCTCCACTTTAGCTATAAGTGGCAAATGGTCATAATCTTTAGCAAAATTAAGCATATGTTTGTGCTCTAGATTTAAGGTGATCTATATACCAGAAATGTGCACAAAAAATTAGACGAAATGCGCGTGCGCGCGCGCACACACACAAATAGAGCATCAAATGAACCTTAGCGGACCTTTCTAGCATCTCTTTACTCCGAATGAGATGGTGCAGGGTGTCACAATTTGGTACCCATCCTGTTAATCCGTTGTTTGGAGACAATGGAATGACAGCATATCTTTGAATAGAAAGATCCTTCTCTGCAGTGTTTCTGGAATTTTCCATAAGTGTGTTCACCAAACCAAAGAGCTGGCCAACATGCAAAATAAAATGTCATTGATAGAGTAACAAAAATAATATAAAAACACCACGTACAATTCCAATTTTGTGAACATAACCCTTATGTGCCTTAGAACCCAGCACCACTAGAAAGTGGATGTAGAAAACTAGAAGCCCCACTTCTTAAATAATCCCACAACCAACAACCAGGTCTAAAGGCTATTTCTTCTTCAAGAGAGTGATATCTAATCTAAAAATTATAAATGATGTTTAGATATGCAAAGTTAAAACCACAATTCAATAGATATATTCAGTAATGCAAACACAGCTCAGAGAAGACACTAGAATTGTCAAATTTTTAAAAAAAAACTAAAAAATATATTTAATAGCTTTAAAATAAAACAAAAGAAAGCTATAAAATCTATACATCAAGTCCGTAGAATGGAGCATAGAAGGAGCAACCTCATGTTCCTCATCTATACTTCTTTAACATTGAACACAAATTCAGACTAAAGCATGCTTTGAGCAAAATTTTAGAGTTTTGTATTCATAATTTGCTACTTTTAAGCATGATTCTTATCTAAATTCAATATGAAAAGTATGACTTTTAACCATTATTGTAGTAGTGACTCTATTGAAATGTTTTATACATATGGATATCCTATGCTGTCTGTGTTTAGAAGGATTTTCTCGTTTATGACCATTTCAGATATCCTGAAGTCTGGCAACAGCTGCATAAATTGATAAATATAGCACTCCTATAGATGAAGTCGCATCGCGTGTGTTTAGTTACTACAGGATTTAGTAAACCCACTCACAACTTTTTTAATTAATTAAATTAAGTGTGTAGTAGAGTAGGTTATCTACGCAAAAATAGAGTTCTAGCCATGGCTACATCATTTTGGAATGTATTAAAAAAAAAATTAAGAATGAAATTCTAAAGCCAACAACATTTTCATGAAAACCATGAAGAGTGTGACACCACTCATGCCACCTGACAACCAAACTAAACAATAATGGCTTGAAGCAACCAAATTAGAGGCATAACCACAACAAAACAACCATGGTCTGAACCAACCCAAAGAGGCACAACCTCCACCAATGTGAAAAATGATTAGCAAATACACTATGGTGGTATTCTAAGATTTCATTTTCTTGGTGTTCTCAATGTTGGTATTGATACATATCTTTGCTAATATTTTAAAAAAAAAAATGGCAACTAAATTATTATATATACATGGAATTTAATTAAAAATAATCTCTCTTTATCTCATTTCTTTCTACTAGCATTATACTATTTAGCTTCTAATGAATTCAGGCACATTCTTAAGTTGAAAACAATTACAAGTAATCTCACTTTTTCTGAGTTAAATAAGCTAAAAAAAATTCAAATAATCTAGAATCTAGAATTGTAGTTAAACACCATCATTTGACCTTTTTTTTAATCCAATAATAACACTAAACCCAAAGATTTATTTATAATTAAAAAAAAAAATTCAAACCCATTAAGAAATGAATTGAACAAATACAAATTCTATTAAGAGAGTGGAATTGAACAAATGCAAATTCTATTATATATTACAATTAAGAATTCTATTAATACAAATTCATTTAATCAATTGGGCTCTACCAGCATACGACAACACTTTATTAGCTCACGATTGAATCCTCTTAGTAATCCTAGCAACCAATTGATTAGAATCTATTTTACACAACTTAGTAGAGACAAGAGGAACCCCTAAATACCTCATAGGAAGCTTCCCATCTTTAAAATCCATAATAGAAAGCAACTCACCTCTCAAGTGATAGTCCATATTCCAGCAAAGAACATACGACTCTTAGGATGAAAGATCTTATGGGACTCTATTTATGAAAAATCTTATTCATTCATATACATTTTGTGTCAAATTGTACAAAATTGATATCTGTGTTGCAGATTTATTCAAAATTATGTACGCGCATGACTAAAAGGAAGATAGATATCTAGAGGAAGCAATAAAAGCTTTATTTTTGATACAATCTGAAATCTAATTCCAATGAGATGCAAAAAATGTAGACCAACTAAACTAACCTCAGCTGATCAAGAAACAAATGATGCCATATTACTGTCGTGACCATCAAAAATCAACCAGCCCTAGGAATTGATCTTGAACCCCAACAAATTAGGGCCTTCTAGATGACTATTTAAACTCTTCATCAATAATTTTTTGGTTTTAAAATTTTAGCTGATAAAGCAGAGAACTCATCATCGGTTGTGAGAGTGGATTGTCATTTATATAATTCATCATCTGATCGCCTTATGTAGAACTCATCGAGGGCTTGAATTGGGTTTTCGGTTTGGGAGGGTTTCAAAGGGTAGATCGAGATGGAGAGAGATAGTGAGGCAGAGATTGAGAGCGAAGGTGAGGCAGAGATAGAGATAGAGATAGAGATAGAGATAGAGAGATGGTGAGATAGAGATGGAGCACTCCAACTGGGACTGATCTTTGCCAGATGTCGGAGGTAAGGGTTTGGCTAGAAAGAGGGTTGGGGTTAGAGAAGCGGGCGGTGGAGAATCTAGGGTTTGTGGTTGTAGTGCTGGTCGTTCTGGAGAAGAAACAAAGAAAAAATGATGGAGAGAGAGAGAGACGAAAGCTATGAAGAGAAAAAAACAGACAGAAAGACACAGACAGTGCTAATGCTAGGTAGTGTTTGACACTCTGAAATTTTATTTTGGTGCTATTTTTTTTAGTCACATCTTTTCGGATAGCATTGTGTATTATGGAAAGTGTAATATTTTAAATGGTTAATTTTTTGTGGGTCGTGAAAAGTATAATTTTTAATGATTAATTTTTTGTGTCGTGAAATATTTAATATTTTTATCAATTTATAGACGCATGTTGTGTATAGTTGATGTATTAACGGCATGTCATATGCACGTCATAAATTTTTTTATTATTTACAGTTAACATTGCAAGTCATAAAAAAATCATCATTATTAACATTTACGACCTACGCAATACACACATCGTAGTTGAGAAATTATTTATGGTATGCAAAAAAAGCAAGTCATAAAAATAAGAAACCATAGCTTGCATTTACTGTATGTCGTTGATATGAAGCTGTAAAAACCCAGTTTTGTTGTAGTGGATAAACAAAAAAGGGGTAAAAAAATTAAAACCCTACTCATTTTTTTCATTGTCGCATAATACATCAAAATTTTCCCACCAAAATTGGTGACAACATTTTTTCCTCACCAGAAGATCTCAAAAATCTTAAAAAATTTTGGTAACGAAAGCATATTCCTCGTAAATAATTTTATAATTAGTGATCAATTTTTTTCTCACCAAAAGTCATGTGACAAAATTTATAAATTTTTATTTAGTGGCGAAATTTATTTTCTTCACTAGTTTTCGTCATCAGGAGGCGCTGATCGAAGAGAACATGAGGCATCGAAGGAGACGGGTGGAGAGGCTCGGAGATGCGACGTCGACAACGGCACTGAAGAAGGAGAATAGGTAACATCAGTGGTAGCGCTAGAGGAGAACACTCTGAATGAGGCCTAACTTGTGTTTTCTTTATATAAGACTACTTTCAGTTTACACCAAGGCTCGAAAATGCTTGCAAATGGAGCTAAGGTATAGAGCAAAATAATGCAAAAATGGGGGAAATGAGGACTTACCCTTGTAGCACAGCAATGCAGCCAACTTCGGACCACGAAAGTGAGCTTTGAACCTCTGAAAGTGAGCTCCAAGGTGCTGGAATGGATGGTGGAGGTGTTAGGCTTAGAGGTGTAGTGTAAATGGCCAAGAAAATTAGGGTTTGGAGTTTTGGAGAAGAAGGCTATGGAGGGTGGAGTGCATGTGCCTTGGCCAAACTTTCTAACCCTTGCAAAATGAGATGGAGGGTTGGTTATAAAGAGGAGAAGGGATAAGGCTTCTTGGAGAAGCCTCAAGAGGGGTTCAAAGCTTCTCAAAGAAGCTTCACCAAAAGGGTCAAGCTTCTTAAGGAAGCTAGACCAAAAAGGGTCAAGCTTCCTCAAGAAGCTTGACAAAAGAGTCAAGCTTCTCCAAGAAGTTAAGCAAGGGGGGCAAAACCAATTAAAAAGGATGAAAAAGATGGTCAAAGTCTCGGACAGTGGGTCAAGTGCTTCACAGCTGGCACAGCTGTGTTGCACTTGAGAAGAGCAAAAAGTAGAAAGCTAGCCGACCAGCTAAGGTGGCCGGCCGGCCACTCTCCCTGGTCGGCCGACCAGGGGTCAAAAGGGTCAAGCAAAATTGCTGGTCGGCCTACCTAGAAGGGTGGCCTCCCAGATGAGTAGAATACAGCTGTGTGGTGAAGAACCAGAAAATGTGACCCAGATGAGAGAAAAACCAACTTTTTAGAGGGATTAAAAAGGGGCAAGAGGAAATACTGGTCGGCCTACCCATATTGGTGGCCTCCCAGATGAGCACAACACAATGATGGTGTGAAAAACTACAAATTGTGGCTCAAAAGTGGGAAAAACCAACTTTCTGTTAGAAAAACCGGCTTTTGGAGAGAGAAAATGAGAAAACTGGTTTTTCAGGGGAAAAGGTGGCCAGCCACCATACTACCCCCTCACTAACAGTGAAAATAGGGTCCCTACCAAAAATGGACCAAGACGGATGCAAAACGAAGGTTCGCGGGCCAAAACGCGCAGTCTGAGGCCCCGAAAACAGGCTGTTAGGCACCGGAAGTGGCGTATGACCACAAGGGTGGTCTCCTGGGCCACAGTGTCCCTCTAAAGGGAGGAAATAATGTGTGTGCCAAAAATCGGAGCAAACGGAGGTAGTTAAGCGGTCCCAAACCGAGGCACACGGCCGACGGCTCCGAAACTCGGAAACTGGGCTCCAAACGGGAAAAATGGCCTACGACCACGAAAAATAGCCTACGGCCATTGAGAGATGGTCTATGAGACCTTTCCCTCCCTTTGGGAAGAGAAAACAGGACCTGGTTCACAAACCGAGGCAAAGCACAAAAGAGCCCCGAAGTCTAGAGGCAAGGCTCGCTGCCGAGACTCCGCAACCTCAGAACGAGCACAATATGCAACATCACCGAGCGCTCAACTGGTGACGTTTGAGTCTTAAGGTCGGTAAAAAATGGGGTGTCTACAGTTGCCCCTCTTTAACAGAACTCGAAAGTCATACGTGACGGGAGTGAATGTCAAAGCCCAGAGACGACCCATTTTTGGCAAGGCCGAAGACTTAGACAAACAGGCAAGATAACATAGATGTGCCCGCAGGCATGCCCGCAGGCATGCCCGCAGGCAGGGGGCGAGATGCAAAATGATATGCACAAATCCTGACATAAATCATGATCATGCAAAGCAGCAAGCTGTAATGAAGTGCACACGCAACAGTTTTAAGCAAGAATGCAAAGCAACAACTATATTTCATGCAGTTAGGAATGCGGAGAATTATTCAATTCTCGTCGCGTCTCACACGGAGAAGATACAATACATGCGCGGCTCGTCTGGTCGCACCAGCCTCAAATGAACCGTATATACAATATCGTGCCTGCAAAAGAGAGAAACTCAACAAGCACAACATAGTTAGCAACACATGTTCAACGCTATATCGAACGTAGATAAACAGGGTGCCGATGGGAGAGTGCATTGCAATGCGAGAGACACGCGCGTGTCAATGCAAGCTAAGCGTGAGGGTATGACAATACCCTTGAAACGTGCACAACAATGCAAGTGGTATGCATGAGAATGCAAATGACGTTCATAACAATGCAGGATAAGTGCAAATTCGAATGCGTGTTTGACGTGAAACAACGATCAAAGAAATGCAAGTTTCGACAAGTGCGACTCAATCGCGACCTTCGGTTTACCTCCCGGAAAGGTCACAACGTGCTCAAAAAGGATACATTTTGCTCTTGACGAGTGACGATGAGACACGCATCGAAAGTTGGAGTTGAAGTTCCCGCGGAGGGATTTCGCGACGAAAAGTCCACTTTCCTCGTACTTTCTCGGGTCCTGGGGACTTCAATCATCACCAAAGTTTGCAGAGACCTTGGAGACCACCTTGAAAACACCACCGACCAGTTTTGGTCCTAGGGGGAGGCGACCGACCAGATTTAAGGGAGAGAGGTGGTCGGCCTACCAGAAAAGGTGGTCTGCCGACCACCAAGCCCAAATCCGGGGCAGTTTGGTCTTTTTGCTCTCATTTCCTTAAACATACAAAGCCAAACACCTTTTGCTCATAACTTCAGCTCCGAAACTACCTTCTTCTCCTTCCTAGACCATTTTCTCTCTCAGATCTGCGCTCTATACACGTTTTCAAACGCCTCACGCAAAGTTTTTTCGCGAAAACTTTCAGTTTTCTTCACTTTGAACCGATTAGATTTTGATTTCGGTGCTTCTTTCTCCATTTTCACCACTTGAGGTAAGTTTATCTCAACATTTGGAAGATTTTCTCGGGAGTTGACTTTTGTTGACTTTTTCCTTTCCCGAGAGTTGACTTTTGTTCACTTTTTCCAATTTCGGCTCATTTTGCTCATTTTTGCTCGTCTTTGCAGATTTTTCGAGATGGCGGGTCATTTCCCTCAGGGTGGAGGTTCTCTGGGTGCCGAAGGCGATCCAGATATCATGTCTCTGCCGCCGAGGATTTGCCCCTCTGTTCCCGAGAGGTACGACCCCCCGACGCACATCCTCCCGCGGGCAGGTTTTTATCATTTTACGAACTCCGACGACCGAGCCCCGGTGGATCTTTTGCTGCGGGAGCCAGAGTCTCACCTCTCCCATCAGGCACAGGAGGTATGTACTTCACTTTTACACTTTCTGCCATGTGTAACATAGTCTACATTTTCCGTGCATTCCCCGCTTTTGCCATGCTTATCTGCTCATTCTAGCACATAGCTTGTTCTGAACACTTTAGCCTATGACACAACAGTCTGTTTGCATTTTGAACACAGCTTAATCACTTGAATTTCTGAACAGTCGGCGCATAAATTGGTTGTGAACGCACAACACACACTTGTTGAGAGTAGAACATGCAGCCCAATGCTTTTGAAATTTGAACATACAGCCCAAGTACTTGATGTTGAACACACGGTTCAAACTTTGAGGTGAACAACCAGCCCACTGATTTTGAAATCTGAACACACAGCCCAAATACTTGATGTTGAACACACGGCTCAAACTTTGAGGTGAACACACAGCCCACTAATCTTGAAATCTGAACACACAGCTCAAACAC